AGAGCAATCTTGCGGTTCCAAATTTAGCAAATCAAACACACCGTGCTAATTTTGGTAAAATTCAAAGCAAGTAGTGCTCTTTTTTTGTGATTATTTTTCACCCAATATGAAAAAAAAACCGAGTTTGGAATTTCAAATTTTGTTGGCTTTGTCCGGATAAATTAAATCAGCACTGTAGACAAAAGAACATGCTCGACCCAATTTGGAGGGATATCTAACATAGGTTACTAACATACGCGTTACTATTACAAAACACATCGCGGGTTGATTGGCCCAATAAACAAGCCAAAAACGCCGTTTTTGTTTTTTTTGAGATTTTTCACCAAAAAATCTTTTTTTTTGGCGCTCGCTTCCCTTAATAATTAGTATATATTGGAGCCGAAGGCGCCTTTAGAAAATTTTTAGGGTTGGTCGGCCGAAGAAGTATGGGGACCCTTTAGGGTTGGGGATCCTTTGGTTGGTGAGGTTATCGAATATCACCCGCCCCTCCCCCTTAAGTCCTCCCCTGTATGGCTCATTAGTTTGTTAACAACAAATTAAATCAAATTTTCTCAAAATAATTTGGTCGAAAATTCGGAAAACAAGTCGAAAATTTGCCGAAAATGTCAAAAATGTTTCAACTTTGGCCAAACTCATTTTGAGACATTTCAGCCTAAAGTTTATTCACCATTTTCTTCTTTTTGTTCAGCTGCTGCTGTTCAAACCGGGAGACTGGTGGCCTGAAGAGGAGGAAGAGCGGGATCTACAACTGAGCAGCAAGACCAAACACATTCTGGAGCAGAAGTTCAGCATGTTCGACCACAGCGAGAAGAGCCACGCATTCGTGGAGTACACCTTCAAGAAACTCACCTACTGCGACTACTGCAGAAACCTACTCAGAGGTAAGACTCAAAAAGGACTGCTGAAAAGAAATCTCGGGTTATTGCCAGTGCCAGTTGGGCTGTACTGCCCGTACAGTAACCCTGGTGCAGTTTATTAGTTCATTAATGTTCTCTAAACTGTATCTAAATTCAAATTCAAATTCAAAAATCAATTTATAGTTATTGCCGAACTTTTGGCTATATATTTTTCATTCAACGAATCTAAACGAAGTTATTTGTCCTAAAACTGCTCATTTGGAGATCGGGAACCCATTTTTATTTATTGGTATTCTCGTTAGCTCTTTGGAGAACATTTGGATCTAGTTTACCAAATCCGAAACCTCCAACAGCATTTGTTCTGTATGTCATAGTTTCTCTGACAACCTGTAGACTCATTTGGAAGATAAAACCAAAGCAAAAAAAAACAAAAATTAAAACCAAAATTGCCAAAAAGGTTGTGACCAAAATGTTCCTTTTGAAAACATACAAATGTTGTTTCTGTTTGCAGGCATAGTGAAGCAGGGTCTGAAGTGCAAGTACTGCAAGATGGCAGTGCACACCTCCTGTTCTGAGAACGCCTCCTACTGCACACGACAGCCGGTACATACTTACACATACACACTTATACATTCATATCATCTTATACTTAATAACTACACTCATTTTTCGACCGAGTATTAAGATTTTTTAAATCAAAAAAGTAGTTATTATACCCAATTCTTGCAAGAAACTTTTCAAAACCACCCCATACATACACACAGTGGCGTGCGCAGAAATTGTTCCAGGGGTAGTTTTTCTAAAAAAAAAATTTTTGTTGACCTTTTTTTTTTAGGTCGACCAATTTATTTCATTTTCCGAGCTCTCCGAAAATACTATAAGGAATCTGTTGTCAAAACTTTTCTGCGCGGCAGGCAAATTTTTGAAAAATCAGGCCAAAAATGACGTTTTGAGCACTTTAACAAAAAAATTGCGTTGTTTTGGCGCGCGCTCCCCCCCCTCAAATTTAGTCAGATTGGCGACGAAGGTTGGCCAGCCGAAAATGAATCACGTAAAAATATACCAAAGAGGGGACCATTTGGAAAATTTTGGCAACCAGAATTGAGTGGTGGAAAAAAAGCAATCCTTCCACCCGGAACCCCCTCACCCACCCCCTCGCCACGCTACTGCATACACATCATCTTATGTTTTTTTTCTATCAAGTATTGATATTTAATACTATGTTTGAAAGTTTTAAGCGAAAAAAAAACCGATCAATCAACCTTAATGAAAAATGATATTATTCTCTTCTACCAAATACGAAACTTTCCATGACAACATAATTGCTTTGTTTCTGCTCACCAGAAAGGAAAATCAGGAGGCGGTTGGTAACTTTTCACTTTTAGACCAGCAAAGCGGAATCTTCAGTTTGCAAATGCAGCTAGTTTGTTGTAGCTAAATTTTCATAATTATGAAATTGTGCATGTTTTACCTTAGACTTCAATTTGATGCTCCATCCCCTGTAATTTATCGTAGACTCTATGCCCATATCTATTCCTGATGCAGCCAAAAAGATATGTGTCGACTGGCATAAAACAAAATTAGCATATGAAATTTTAAATCGAGTTGTACCGATAATCTTGAAAAGAAAACTGCAGGATTTCGTGGGAGGCAAACGCTTGCTCCTTTTGGCCAAACTTAGCAAGTGGTGTTGTGAAACTTTTCAAGTCATATTGTGAATCGATGTTTGCCACTGGTCTAGTTTTCCTCCATTTTAATTTTGATGAGTATACGAGGAACTTATGATGTGTGGAAGTTTTTCTTAAAAAAAATATGCTAATCGATGCGGATCAACATTTTGTAAGCTCAATCGTGGTTTGTTTCGAACATTCAATTTGGTGCACCCGAGTTTTTGCGCGGGAAGACTAGTGCTATGCGTTTTAAAGGTCAGATTTTCGATGAGAGTGACAGAACATTTTGGCTCGGGTTATTTTTTTTTCTCCAAACAAAATTCGAATTTTCTACTAGCAATTTTTGACAGAAACTTTTACACGCTCTGCAAGATATTGATGCCTTGAGCAAAAAATTTCAATGATGTTTCACCTTTGATTGTTTTTTTTGCAGAGTATGGCGTTTATGGTCAAAGTGAAATAAATAATAAGAGAACCAGTTTAGTTCTCTAGTTACAAGTTTTTTTTTAACGCATAGCATAAGAGACAATTTGGTCCGACTCAGAAATCATTTTGTAATAAATTGAAGCAATCTAAATATTCTAGAAACTAACTGGACCGGAGAAAATTTTTAATTATAACACCTCGCACAAACCTGCCTGAATATTTTTTGAGCTACCTGTTTAAGGTGATAAAAACACCCAAATCCAATTTTATTTTTTCCAGTGTCACGAGTATTTTCATTTCCTGCTCTCGAATTTAGAAAATTACTCCTCATGGCTGGCGTACAGAGCGGTCAAAATCAGTTTGTAAGTAGCAGAAGTATATTCGGTTTTCGCTAACCAGTTCACGGGTGAAAAAGTTCTGTTTATTTAGCAGCTTTAGATTTTTGAAACTGTTCTTACCATTTATCAAGAACTGAACTACTAACTTTGGGTGTTCTGAAACAAATCCTGTTTAATCCTGCTAATCCTAGCAGAAGTAAAATAAATAAAACTACCTTTTAGTTCAAATTCCCGAGGCAGCGGAAGTTTTCCTTGATTTTACCGAACCTTGTCAAAGTCTGGAACATTGAAGTTGACACATTTACTGCACTAATTTACATGCTTTAGTCTGGGTGGTTTTTGCACGATTTATAACTGTATTTAAAGTTTTCATGTCAATAAAAAAATTGTGTAGCGTTATATGAAACAGATTCATACAGATACCAAAAATCCCTTCTGTTGCCTAAACTGAAGCCAAACGAAAAAACAGCTCAGCAAAAACTGGAAAAAATTCAAATGCCTTGTACCGAATTTGTGTATAAACCATTAGAATATTTTCCATTTTCTGTTGCGCTGTTTTTTCGTTTGGCTCAAAATGTTGTAGCCGTGAAAAAAATAGTGCTGAAAATAATTTTTTTTTGCTTACGTTTTGCGAGATATAATCCAGATTTTTATAAGCAATTTCCTTGAAAAATGCCAAAAATTGTGACAATTTTTGGTATTTTTTAAGGAAATTACAAATCAAAATTTGAGTTATATATCGCAAAACTGATATCTTTACAATTTTTGTTATTTTGCCAGGAAATTACATGAAAAAATCTGAATTATATCTCGCAAAATGTAAGCAAAAAAAATTCCCTGGATTTTTTAGCACTTTTTTTCCACACTTACATCAAAATTTCGGCCATTTCTTTAATCCTCCTTGTAACGAATATCTCTAATATCTCACGGCTTTAACCATGACAACAACTTATAACATCTCACTGCTGTAATTAGTATGACTTTCTTTAATATTGTATTTGGTCTGTCGTGTCTCTTTTAGTTGAGGAGATAGACCCCGTGTTTAATGCAATCCGATATGCCTCCACCCTCTCGTCGCACAACAGGACAGAGAGCATCTCTAGTAATGGATCCAACCACTCCCACGTCAACAAGTGAGCTCTACTGTGTCATGTTGTTAAGGAACTTTTTTCTCCGCTGGTCCACATGGTTTCTTCTCATGCTGTTATGAAAGTTTTTTCTCCTCTGGCTCTTTTACCAGATTGTGCGTGAATCCACGATTTATAACAGGCGACAACTGGTACAGCCACGAAACATAGAAATTGCAATTTTTAGTTTTCAAGTGATGAACTGAACGAAAATTTTTTAAAGAATTCTGCCGTTTTCTTTCTCTACAACTTGTGAAAAATTACGGCTGATATGTTGACGAATGATGAATTAAAAAATTTATTAGAAATTAGCCCAAAAAAAAAGAAATTAGCCTTGTGAAGCTCTTAGACAGAAGTTGACTGAAATTTGTGCAATTTTCTTAGTAAAATGTCAAAATCTGATTTAATTTTTTTAATGAGCTGTTTTTTATAATTTTTTTCTGTGAAAAGAAATCTGTATAGAGCGCAGCATAGATCCTGAAACAATTAAAAGATCAAAATTTTCAACTGCTTCTGCTGTTTAGGTAGTTTTTTTGACACTAAGAACATCTCTCTGAGGCCATCTAATTAAATGACCAAACAACGTCTTGAAAACAATTTTTACGGCTTTTAATCGGGATATATTCTCTTTATCATTTTTATTCATAATATGGTAAGGTTTCAACCGTGAATTTTTTGTAGAATGAAAAAAAAAACGTGAGAAAGTTTTTCCTTCATTTCTAAACTTGAAATCTAAAACTAGCAACTTCTAAGTTTCGTGACTGTTAAGTAGATTGAACGGCAAACATTGATTGCGCGTATATACTACTCTTGTCAAATGCTGGCGCAGTTGTGCGACTTCATGTCTTGGGAAGCCGATTAAGCGATTACCTTTTGCCAATGCCTAACTATGAAATTTTGCTCGTTGGCAATTATAATCATAAAACGAATTGTTTCCAAACGATATCTAGTTACAAAGTAATTTATAAAAATTTATAAATACAAAATAGATTCGTTTGTGAGAACACCATTAAGCCAACATGGTCCGTTTTCAGGTGTCTCAATTGTCGCGAAGCCCAGATCATTGCTTATTTTAGACTTTTTTAATTTCAATTTCTATAATAGCCAAAAAACTCAAAAACATTCATTGTGCCAGAGAGAAATCATTGCTTATTTCAGGTTTTTTTCTATCTCGTTTTCAAAAATGGTCAAAGAATTTCAATTTATTGCTCCAACAAAAATGCAATGGATTTTTGTATTCGGTGCAACTTTAAGTTTCGTCTCCACCACAAAGTAGAAAATTATTTTGTCTCTGGGTATTTTTTACTTTTTTCTCTTCTCAATTAGCTACTAAAAATTATGGTCAGATGGGATTGATTGATATATCATATTAGAGTTTTTTAAGTTGTAACTCCAGCGATATTAGATTTTTCAATTTTTTTTCAGCTCTGGTAAACCACGGTTTGGATTTTTTTGATCTTTACACGCTTTTAGAACAAGAGAAGCCAAAGATTTGCTATCAAAAATTTAAAACTTTTTGTTAATTGCGACAAACTATACATTTGGCTAATAAAAACGGGTCATTGAAGCTTCTTTTAGCGCTTCCTTAGTACTAAAAATCATAAAATTTTTTATGCTTACCTTCGAAAATTAATTGTACACAATTGAACCAAATAATGTTATAAAAATAGTTAAGTTCCTTTTTCTAAGCCACCCACGGAATTGTCCCAAAAATAAAAAAAATAAATAAAAAATAAAATGGTTTTTCAAAACAAAAACAAGTTTTGTCAAAACTTTGTTTGTTAATTTAACAACTAAAATGATTTTACTCTTTCAAGCGCAAAAACTCAGATACCAAAAATGAAAAGCCAGATGAGGTTGACTTTTAAACCCCAACAAGCTCTTTTCTAATCTCACAAATGCAAAAAATCAATGTAACTTTGATCACTATTTTCTGTGCTCCAGACATAGCAATTGAGTATTCTGTTTTTAAATCAAGTCGGCTTGTAATCTAACAGCGAAAGTCGTTGCGTTGCCGTAGAAATTTGAAAAAATTTAGGTTTGAAATTCAGGAAACAAGCCTGAAGGTCTTCAAGTGCTTAATTACAAATTACAACGTACAAAATGAGACGTCGCTGCGCGTTTTTTTTCTGAATTTTTAAGGACAATAAGTCGACAAAGAATACTACGATTTTTTTCTGTTTTTTATCCTAAGAAACTTAGTATTTCTGTTTGGACTTTAATAATTTTTTTCCAAATTTTGAGCCATAATAAATACCAAGAATGCGTGAAGCTTGGAAAAAACATGTCTATAATTTAGCAGTTAACTGTCTTATCGAGACGGCATATTTCAGGAACTAACTAGAAGAGCGGTAAAAACGTTTTGTGAATTTGCAGGCGTGAATCGACCGACCTCGGCTACCGAACAGACTCCCGATCGCCCAGCAGATTCAACTCAGGGAGCGGCCAGACGACGTCCAGCAGCGGAACCAGTGGCGCTGGAAACTCCTCCTCCTCTCCTTATTTCCACCACTCGGCGACCAATCCTAACTTCGGCGCCTCCCGTCATGAGTCAATAAGTGGACCGCCGGCTGGGGCGACTTCCAACCATTCGGGCGGCGGTGGAGCAGGAGGCCAGTCGCAACTCATGGTACCTTCAGGGCACAATGGCGCAACATCGGCAGATGCCGCTAACTTGGTCGGCAACGAGCGAACTTTCTCCAATGAGAGTTGCGATTCATGTAAATTAATAATATTTGATTTATTAAGTTTATTATCGAACCGTTTTAATCATTGATTTTTTTCACTGAAATCATTAGTTTCTTGTATTTTATTTTGAAGGTACATCTTAGCAAATTATAACTTCGTTTCAGTGTCTAAGTCAGCTAGTAGTAATGGATCAAGATCACCGCCGCCGTCGCCGAGGATTAACCCTGTAAGTAATAAAACATACTGCCTACAAATTTTCATTTAATTGTGTCACATTTAAACTTTTGACGTTAAATTATATATGACTTTTTATACCAGCTGATGAGAGTAACTAGTAAACAAAAATTTGTAAAATTATATTTAGTCGTCCAAACGGGCTGGTGGCAGCGGCCTCCGAACTCAATACTGTCTTGTCACTCGTGACTTCCTCGGTTCCAAGTCCGACGACCTACCGATCAAGCGGGGTGATGTTGTCACCATAATAGCACAAGACAGTCATGATTGGGTGCGCGGTGTGTGCAAAGGTTTGGAGGGATATTTCCCAGAGTCATTCGTCATCATTCCTGGTCCCGAAGACTCTTTGATGCGGGTGACTCATACTTATAGTGGCAACTCAGACAGTGTCGATGAATTATCTCTAGTTAAAGACCAAGTAAGAAAAGTAAAACCGCTTTCAAAACTTTTGAAATTTTTTTTTTCAAATTTTTGTTATCAGTTTGTTCAAAACTGGGCTCAAATCTTTATATCAGGTTTTAGCAATCCGGTCGCAGGTGTAATAAAAGAACGGTGTAATTGTTAACAAGTACGGTTAATTTGTTCAAGGTTGTGGTCTACCAGGGAGAGGAACAACCGGGCTGGTGCTATGTCAAGAGCGAATTCAATGAAGGCGGAGTTTTCCCTCTCTGTTACCTCACAAAATATAGATGAGGATCTAAATTATCTTGTCCCGAGGACATGACCTCGTTGATTAACAAATGCTGAGTTGATCAGTGTGCTGCAACCGGCATTCGAACACAGCTTCCTTCTTCGCCCGATATTTCGCTTCTCAACCGCAAATTAATAACCAATCGACAAACTTCGCAATTAGCACTCAACCTAGACGTATCTTGATTTCCAAAACTTGTAATTGTACATATAATATTTGAATTTATGATTATTATTGGATTACATTTATCCCATTATTTGTAATTTACAGATAGAAATTAACCTGGACAGATATTATTCAAACCAAGTTTTTCAACAATGAGCTGTAATATAATCTAAAAAGAGACAGCAGATGATAGATTTGAAGGGAAAATCTCCGTTTTTCAGGCTTCCTGAGACTCAGCCACAGCACTACCCATTGTATCATCTGTTCCAGCGACTTGCGCCTCTCCTTCCTCTCCATTTGGGTCTGCTAATTGGATAGGCTGAACTCGTCCTGCTTTCCATTTTGGAACCAAAATTGGTGGTGCGTCTTCCTCAGCGTCATCTGGTCTTGGCTGTTCAATTGTCATGTACTCACCGAGTTGTTCGCATCCGATGTCAAAAATATATTTACCTTTACCCTTAGGAACATCGAATGAGAACTGACCGACAAATTTGTGATTGCTGTGAATAAGTTCTCCTGCGCCTTCCCTTCGTCCATTTACCCATGTGCCGACATACTTTGTTCCTGTCTCCGAATACGTGTAAACGCCTTGTCCGTGTCTGTTGTTTGTCGTCCATTCACCGTTATACAAATCACCGTTAACATACGTGTAGGTTCCGTTCCCATGCCTCATGTCATCGACCCACTGACCTTCATACTTAGATCCGTCAGGGTAATACATGATGCCTTCTCCGTGTTTTTTTCCTTTGATGTACTGACCGATATATCGAGCTCCGTTCTTAAACTTATAAGTACCTTGGCCATTTCGCTTTCCATTTTCGTAATAGCCTTCATACTTGTCGCCGTTTGGAAGTGTTGCTTTTCCATACCCATGTCGCTCCTCCTTTTCATTTCGTTCACCCTCGTAAACTCCCAAGTTAGGGCCCTGTTCCTCATCAAAATCTTCGGATCCAACGTCAGACATTACTTTTTATCTGAAAAAAAATTGTAATCGTTACTGTGAAAAGAAATAAATAATTGAAATGGGCCATGATGATTGTGTTTTTATCTGAAAAAAAAATTGTAATCGTTACTGTGAAAAGAAATAAGTCATTGAAATGGGCCATGATGATTGTGGAGTAGTTTTTATTGATTGATAAACTAGCAGCACAATGATTTGAAAATCTGGTTCAAAAATATATAGGCAACTATGATTGAAGGGTCCCTAAGAATAACCAGACCCCATGAGTATAAGTCTCTCACATTGTTCTTGAATTATAATGTTTCCACTCAAAAAGTAAAATGCACATTATATTTCGAACAATTTTTGTACTCACCCCATCTGATATGGAAAACTTCATTCAGAAGATTTGGTAAAATTGAACTTTTATTACAATTAAGTTAATCAAACTGAGGGTGTTAAAATCGTAAAATAAGTTGACACAAGCTATTTGCTTTATATAAACAGTAGAATCCTATATTGGAATTCGTGAAATTTTGAGATTTTTGAAAAACAAATTTCATTTTTCAAACCAGTACAGGCGAAATTAAACAAATATTATTTTCTAGGGACCTGTCTATCATAGTTGTACCAAAATATATGATATCTCAGCTTTTTAAGATTTACAAGAACCCATACAGCTATGTTTTGCTTGCAAATTGCAGCCCAACCTTGCAATCTGCAGCGCACGAGCAATTCGAACCAGCATTCAAACGATTGCAGGGCACCATCACTAATGGAGCGCCACAATGTCACAACGAAATCTGTGAGCGAATAGGTCGCTATTCAGGGACATTTGATCGAACTGCACAATATTCGTACACAAATATTGAAATGTCAGGGAGGAAGAAAGCAATGAGCAAGCTTACAGAATAGAAGGGCCCATAGAAGTACGACATAAAAACCATTCAATCAAATCACCCGAAAATTGCAATGAAACCTTGATTTTTTATGCACGGTTAACGATGGTACCCTTTTTCTTCAAATCTTCTAGTTGAAACCTAACCAAATCATTCTTGTAAGGATACGCGGCATTCATATCTACGAAAGACAAACGTATATTCGCCACCAAATCTACTGCGGATATAAAGCCTCATATATTTGGTTAACTTTTAAAAGTCCGCTACCAAATACAGATCAACTCAAAAATAAATAAACGAGAAAGCGATAAAGCGTATACTTGAATTTAGAATTTATTGCAGATAATTTTGGCTAATAATTTTGATCATGTGTTCCAGTAGATCGTTATGTCATTCGAAACTTTTCAATTCATTCTGTAAGGCTTTCATATTTATGTTACTTTTTGCAACAGTTAGTATGTTTTATTATTTTTCTCAATTCCAGATAAAATTCCCAAATTTAACAGTATGAAAACAGAAAAAATTTCCAATTTCAAAATTTTGCCAATTCAACAGAAATTTCGATTTTTTAAACAATTTAAAATAATGGTTGCGAAGAGATTCGAGGTGAGACTGGTTACGACGTCTGGTCCAGCTATTGAGAAACTCTTGTAGAAGTTGGATCTCCATACATTCCCGTAATTTGTTAGATTGTTGTTACAGGTATTTTCGGAATGTTCTTAATTAAAACCAGCTGCTGAAACTGATTTGCCTAATTATCATTGGTCTATCCTCTCTTTGAAGAAATTCAGATTATGCCAAAATTAAAAATGATTTCATTTAACTTTATTTCAATTTAATTTAATTAATTTAATTTTGGTCGTTTAAGCATTTTAATTTAATACAAAATTACCGGTATTTTCTCGTTTTGTTTTCTCAAAATTATCTTTAGTTAAGTTTTCATAATTAATTTCCTCTGAAGAGGCTAATTCTTCGCCTTAGCGCATATTTAACGTCCACGCTTGTAAGAACTTTGCTATTGGTGCGGGTAATACTGTTCCATTTTGCTTTCATCTGAAAATTTTCTTCTTATTGGTAAGAAAGCAAAGGCAGGTAGTTTTCTTAATAGAGAATCTCCATCTCAATACAGGTTGCGAACGGTGCCTGTGTACTCTGCACTATTAATGATAAAAGTTACTTTTGAAGAATTTTTTTTATTTATAGAGGCAAGGGAACAAAAGCGCAGCTTTATATAAGTATATGATAGACCCGTAGCCTCATATCAGGTTATATGAGGTCATATCAGTCTTTTTGAGTCACTTTCCAATCCGGTTTATTCTGTGCAGGTGTTAGTTGTCTCAATCTGGTTGGCTTGATCCCGTACTATCTGACACTCTTTATTTCTATCAACATTATACTTAATAGAGAATACTTAACCCGTATCGATTTTTTGATTGAAAAGGACTTAAACACTTGTCATCTTCTTTTATCATTATCACTTCCATATCTAGAAAATTCCAAGGATTTTGACTTCAATACGTGATGAAGGGACTCCTGACTGTAACCTCGGTTACTATGATACTTTTTACCTTCTGATTACCTTTTAAACATTATACTTTACTCTTCCGTATCTAGAAAATTCCTAGGATTTTGACTGGATAATGTGATAAAGGTGAAGTCTCATTTGTACCAACGTTCATTTGTACCAAAATGAAAAATCGGTGCCATTTGTACCAAAATGAAAAATCGGTGCCATTTGTACCAAAATTATTCAACTCGATTTCTGATTGGTCGAATTGTGAGCCAACGAATTATTACATTAATTTACTACTGTTCAAACAGAAGAAAACTAAACAGTAGAGTAGTGACCGCCGCAGTCGCGTCAACATCTTGCGGAGCTTGCGAACAGAGGGTAGGACTCTATACGAAAATTAGGGCGACCGTAAAACAAGAGCTTAAAGTAGTCGGCTTAATAGTCTTAGTCCAACTGAATATTTTTGGTACTAACGCGAGTGATTTTTTATTTTGGTTCAAATGGGACTGATTTATCATTTTGGTACTTGTGAATACCCACCGCGATCAAGGGACTTCTGACTGTAACCTCGGTTGCTACGATATTTTCATAGTTGAAATGAAAATGTGAATTGAACATCAAATATAATTTGACAAATATATAAATCCAATTTTAACAACGATTAATATGCAAGGTGCAAGTGTATGACAAACAACAAAGTGTATGACAAACAACAAAGTGTATGACAAACAACAGCAAGGAGCAAGTGTATGACAAAAAAAAACTTTATAACTATATCAGCTTAAACTTTTCTGGTAATAGAGAGTTTTGATTTTATCTATGAGTTTTGCGAAATTCTTCAAAACGGCAAGTATTGATATGATGATATTTTTCGATATATCCATGGCATACCCGGCAATTGCATAACCCTTTAAGGGTAAAACTGGTGTCCATTTCTTGGGGTGAAGTGTTTTTGGCATTGGAACACCCTTTGTCTGAGCATATAGGATGGTGAAGGCCATTTCCGTAAAAAGTACTGATAATTGGTCGTTTTGTATTTTTGCATTTCTGTAAGTTCAGTATGGAGTTATGGTAGAGATGGATCGAGCAGTTTGAAATTACTAATCGATCTTTGTGCTTTGTCCCACGTTTTCCAGAAGTTACCATAAATACGTTGCCAGTTTTTAACGATAGTAGATTCCGGTAAGTCTGGTTTGAAAATATCTAGGCCATACGATCCACTAGGTACAATGATTGGATGTCACAAGCGTGTTGCTGAAGCGAAGTTGATCTTTTGGAGGTTTATTTTATTCTTCAGCGGGGGATAATTCTTCAACGAAAAAGTGTTTCATTTAGCTCGTTTTATCAGGTGGCCCAAACGGTGCGTAGGGGATAATTGTGGGCTCAGAGCAACTCCTAGGTAGGTAAATGTGTTGACGGATTCAATTGTTTCTTTTTGGACCATCAGCATATCCGTTTTTGATAGACTTTTACCCTTTCTGAATTTCATTGCTTTGGGTTTTCCCCACATGTACTGTTAGTTTTTTCCTGTCGCAGTAGTTTTCCTGCTCTTTTGCTGCGTTTTGTATGTTTTCATTTTTGGCTTTTATTACAAGGTCGTCGGCGTAGAATAGAACTTTGTATTTTTTGTGATCCGTTATGAGAAGTGAAAATAATAATGGGGATAATTTGTCGCTTTGAGCAACACCTTGATCTTGGACGATGTTCTGTGAAACTCGTGATCCACTCGTGACTTTGATAATATTGTATCTGTAATATGGAGTGTATTGTACGCAGCATGTTACCGTTTACACCTAGTAGGCGGTATGTTTGTTGGAGAATTGTTCTGTTTATACCGTCAAAGGCCCTCTTGCAACACTGTTATTTACGCATTTCGATACTTCAGTTTATTGTCTTACTGGCAAGAGACAAAAGATTTCCAGTCTTGTATGTTCGGAACATTTAAAGCAGGGCACTGAAAAACGCTCAAAGATAAATCACAGTAGTAGACCAAAAGAACCTTTCAGCCTCAATGATATAAAGTGCAACACACCGACACTAACGAATTTCTCCATCTCAACCAAGACAATATACAATTTAAATGAACTTGACTCAACAAAAAGCCGAGTGCCGAATGGCCTGCCACCTATCTTCTAGCATCGCTGTGGAAAGCAGATGCGATTGACTCTTAACAAATTTCACAAACATCAAACGCTTATGCAAACTACCATCTGCTTGGAAAATCGCTGCGGTCACCCTCATCCACATGAAAAACGACACCAAAATGCTGAAAACTACGGTCCTATCTCTCTCCTCAAAATTGATAGCAAAGTATTTGAGAAATGTATGAATGCTCACCTGCAAAAATTTCTGTCTAAAAACGAGCATGGGAAATGTATGTATGCTCACCTACGAATATTTCTGTCTAAAAACGAGCATGGGTTTGTAAAAAAGATTGCAAAAGTTTGCAATATGCTCCAGTTTCTAAACAGAATTTATGAATCCCTCGATTTTAATCCGCATGATGACATAATCGCTTTCTATGATAACTTCTCAAAGGCGTGTGACAAAGTAACACATCAAAAATTACTACAAAAGTTAAGCTCACATGGCAAAGGTGGATGCTTTCTTGATGCTCTTCATGATTATCTGAGTCATCGTCAGCAATTTGTTCGCATTAGAATTCAAACATCAGCTGTACTTGAAATCACAAGTGGGGTCCTTCAGGGGTCTATTTTGGGCCCTCCACTTTTCTGCATTTTTGTTTATGATCTTCCCGATATTTTGAAATTTATGGATCCCTTCGTATTTCCAGACGACCTCGAAACTATCAATTGGACAAGAATTTAATAAAATTCAATGTGACTTGGAAAAATCGAGGAGTAGGTCTTATTAAGCATCATAGAATTAGCCTTACACAAGTGTGCCCAATTAAACTTCAGAGGAAATAACATAAACCTAACAACCATGGGCAACTCACAAGAGGCGGAAGTCATCAAAGATCTAGAGTCCACCTGACAGATAAAATGAAATGGAGCACTCATTTGAGAGAACGCTTGAAAAAGCCAATAAAATACCGTACTGTTTGAAGCAAAATGATGCATGCAACGTTAAGTTTTCGTCAAATTGGGTTACAAATCTATGCTGTTACCAATACTGACCTTGAGAAAGAACGTTAAGAAGCTTGAATTATTCCAGAGGAAAGGTATCAAGTGGGTATGTGGGAATTGTACCCAAGGCTATAATGAACAACTCCGGTTGCTGAATATTTTGCCTCTCACTCTGTTCTTGCGGATAAATAATCTCATTCTTTCAAAACTCCACACAGAGAACACCATAACAGAGCGATACCTTCAATCACTAGCATAGAAAGTAGAAGACAGGAATTGTTTATGTCAAAATCACGAACAGAGAAACGCAGAAGTGAATTCATATTCGGGTTGACCAGAGTAGCAAACAGGATACAACCCTTAGTCGATTTCAAAACCAAAAAAGGACCAGGACTTTTTGATCAACACTTTTGAATGGCGACAGATCTACACTTGAAAAAGTTTCAATTTTTGACACATTAATTTTCAGATGCGTTTACTCGCGGTAGATTTGCACGAAGCGTAGAAGTTTTTCAAAATATTTAGTTTTAATAAGGAATGTAATGTCATGGGCTTACGAAGTTAGCTCTTGATGAAAATCATCGAGATTCAGATTTATTACTTTGGCTTATCTGCTGCTCTAGAAGTTCTAAAAGAGCTTCAAGTGCATTTATTTTTTTTTGAAGTTTGAAAATTGAGATTTTATCAAACACAAATTGGTTTGTTCCTTGCGTTCCTTGACTCTTTTCAAACAGTCTGTTAGCTATATTTTGATTTGTAATTTTGTTTACTTTTGCGATAAACAAGGGCATTGCAATCGGGCCCTAGACTTTTTTCCCGTACTTTTACAAGACTTCTGACATGCTCAAATTTTTGAAAATTCAAACAAAAATACGATGTTCTAGGTAGTAATTAGGGGAAGTTCGTTTCAGGTTATAGCTTTTTTAAAAATAATATTCCAGAGAAAAAGATTGTTTGTTCTTTTTTCGGATTTGTGGTTTTCGTTCTAGTTTTTGTCGGCTCGTTTTCTGTTTTTTTTTTAAACATGCAGTTTATTTTTTTCTGGTGCGTTTTTTCTGGGCTTACTTTTCAAAGCTTAGGTTTTTAAATTGATTGAATCAGTTCTATATAATTGTAAGTTCTGTAATTTGTGGTTTCTTAGTTTATTTTCGATTGAACGGTTTTGACTGATGTTATATCAGGTTCGTCAAGTTATTTTGCATAGTTTCGAAGGCAAATTATATAGTGAGGCTTTAACGAGTCTCAGTACAGATGTTCCATAAAAACGTTTGAAACTAAAGCATCATTTTTTAAAAGTTTTGTTTTCGGCTCAAACGCTTCTCTTCTTTATTATGTTCTTCGCAAAATTTCTTTGGCTTTTCAACTTTAAAATTTGCCAAGTTCTTTCTCTCTCAGCCTAGTGGTAACGCCATTGCCTTAACACCATAGACTTATGGGTTCGATTCTCGGTCGGATCTTTTTTTTTAGTTTATATGCAATTGAAAGAAAAAATTCGGATAAAATTCAATTGTCTGACTTTCGTTTGTCTGCTCAAGTTTTGTCGGCCAAGCTGACACATCACAGCTTATGCTGTAAATAACTTCCATTGCAGTTTCAAGCGCAAGTGTTGTTCAAAGATTAGTTTTTCTAATCACTTGAAAGACTAGTTAGACTTGAAAGATTAGTTTTTCTAATCAAATCATTTTTTGGGCTTACTTGTGTCTGCTCAAAGAGTGTCGGCTTATTTGCTACATCATTGATTTTTCCTGAGCTGAAAAGCATCTTGAATTTTAGTGGCAAGTGCAAATGCTGTTCATTGTATTTTCAGGTGGGACTTAAAACTCAAAGAATTGTTATATGAAATCATATTTTTTCGAATCAATTTGTGTCTGCTCAAAAATTGTCGGCTTTATTTCCTTTTCGTAAAAGTGTTTCCACTGCTAGTTTGATTTTCAAGTTTCTGGCATGTTTATTCTGGAATGAACTTCTCTCGAGACATCGAGAAATTTTAATTATGTTAGACATAGTGTTTTCCCTTTTTTCATTTTTTTCGACTTCCTTTGTTTTTTTGTTTGTTGGATCGCAGGTGGTGCAAAGTTCTGCTTCGCCTCTGTGTCGAGGTTTTTTGTGTTATATATAGGTTTTGAAAGTTTGGAGTATGCTGTAGTTTTTGCGTATAGTCAGTTTTTTTGCGCCTGATGTATCACAAGTGGTGCGAAACTCCGCCTCGCCTCTGTGTTGAAACCTTGATTTTTTATTTCTGATATCAGACTTCTTTTTTGATATCAATGGGCATAGCGAGAAGACTAATAATTGGAAACCAGCTCGTGTCTAAATTATAATTTTAGTGACGTAGCCATTGTTTTTACAATGTCTCGATTTGTGTTAATAGATCACGTGTCTGACATTATTAAGTTTTATTAGAAGTCGAAAGTTTGACTGAATCGGCGCTGAACCCTGAATGATTCCTGTTCTGATTGAAGGGAAGTATGCAACAAATACTCGACTTTTTTGACACCGTTTCAAAATGCCAGTTGAAACCAACAGATACAAAATTTTCAACTCTCATATGCATGTAATCCGCAACCTGTCAATATGATAATGTTACTATTATCTTAAGTGTTATTGTAAAATTGTATCTTGTTGTTTGGAATAAAGTCTTATTCATCCCAGTCTTTTCTCGGTTAGTCCAAAACGTTCTGTTTTTTTTTTCTGGAAGGTAAATTATAATTCTGAACTACAACTAAAGGATATAAATTATTAGCTCCGTAATATGGTTATTTTTTTCAACCAATTTAATAAAAGGAGCCCTCGGCGACCACAACCTTAGGGAATCTATGGGCAAAAGTGACAGCTTGGTGTGGCAATTTGAAGCAGTTTCAGTTGAGATTTGATTTCTAAAAAGCCTTTAACCATGCTTTTTTCAGCCAATTTTTTGATATATTTCTGACAGCAATTTATGCGTTCTGCAAGCAATTATTACCTCGTTCTTGCAGACGACTATTCAATTAGATTCACTCTCTGTGCCGTTTTTTTTCCCTTTTTTTTATCAGCTTTCCTTAAAAGTTAAAAGGTTTTGGAGTCATAACTCTTGAGAGTATAAGATAATAATGCTATCAATTCTCAGATAAATTATGGAGCTGAGTCCCCTTCAGAAGATCGTCAAAATCGAGGAAGTTCGTCAAGCCATGATGAAGAGTGCTGAGAGCACTATGGGTGCAATCCATCCCGCCACTCGTATCGACCTGAACAACTTCTATAACAGCTGCACCGGATGTCTGGCGGCAGTGAAACAGCTGCGGGGTTTGGGCAATGCGACCATAACTGAGACACTTTGGAAAGAAGTGAACACTTTTGCAGACCATGCAGAGCTTCTGCGAGAGGAGGTGGTCAAATTGGATCCGAGTTACCAAAATGACGGACCACTTGTGAAATGTGAGAAAATTTTTTAGTTGCTTGTTTTTTTTTCTGAAAAAAAAACAGGTTCTCCTAGCTACTGCTTCATTTAAAAAATAGAGATAGCCATTAAGTAACTTAAAAAGAAATAAAATCAAAATGATTGTTTATGTGCATGTGTTGCTCTGGTAGTGTGCGGAACGAACCGTTAGTTCTTAAGGTCAAAATTATTCCAAAGTTTTGTAGCCAACTTAAACTTTGGAATAATTTAAGTTATTCCAAAGTTAAGTTATTCCAAAGGCGCTTTTGGCATATATGCAGTAATTTTGGGAGAAGAGCCCGCGGTGGAACAAAGAGCTACAAAAAATGTTTTATCAGAAAAGCACAGGAAAGTTTTTGCATAATACGATCATCCTAGGGATCCAAAAGAGCTCGAAAAATAGAAATGATTGGCCTAAAACCGCCAATCTTTTTGACAGTTATTTTTCCTTTGTCAAAAGTTTTCTTTTCTGGTTGGTGTTTTCGTTCCATTTTTTATTGATACCAAACGAATACGAATACATATTAGAATTCCATGTCGGCATTTTTTTCTCTTTCTGGTTAGGTCTGGCTCGGATGATGAACAAAGGAGACACAGTTTTGCGGGAGGTGAGAAACCAGTGCAACTCCAAACTGCTGGACACTTTTGGGGACGACTGGATGAACGAGACCAACGAGAGATACGCCAAAGATCTCAGTATCGTCATTAGGGTGAGAAATAGTTAGATAAAACTCTACACTATTGTAAGATAACTGTAAAATTAATAGTAAGATAACTATAGTTTACATTTCTTCTACACAATCGAAGAAAAAATTGAAAAACAACAATAGATTTACTTATGATTGTTACCCGAATCAGTAAAATAGTTTTTTTTTTTATCATTTGTCTTTTTTTGTTTCAGATTTGAAAACGTTATCTCAGATTTGACTGTTTACTTTTCACTCTAGTTGCGCATGTTTTATGTTAATAAAAAAAAATTCAAAAAAATTGAAATAAAAGGCTTGGAAACTTTTCGAATTTTTATTTTAATTTCATCTTTCGAAAAAAATGTAGCCAAATGTGACTAATTTATTAATCTTATACGCTTTCGTTTTGTCTTTCTTATTGGTTTGAATTTTTACTCGTTTCTTTTCTGCGGAAAATCTTTGCTCTCGTCCATTAAGTTGCAACAAATTATCATACGTGTTGAGCTTAATAAAAAGTAAGTTTGATTCTAAAATTTTTTACCTTCGTGATCAGCAAGGGTGTTGTAACAGGGTATTAGATTTTTTCCCGTAAAAAACCCGGATTGACCGAAAATACTAATCATGCAGTTTTCATACATGGAATAATGCTCATCATACACTTTTGAGAAATTAAAATATAAAAAATCAATATTTTTGGTTTATTGAAAAATGCTAGTCATGCAAGTTCCATATATGAAAAACCACTAATCATAGACCTTTCTTGCAATTTTCTGTACTTATGCAATTGCATGAAAGGTATATGATTAGTGATTTTTTATGTATGGAAACTGTATGACTAGCATTTTTCCATAAAACAAAAATATTGATTTTATACATTTTATTTTTTCAAAATTTTTGGTTATGTTCGTAACCGAACACAAGTGACAAAAACCTTGTTTACTGAAACATAGAGTAACCAAAGGTTCGACTGTCTCGCATTAAAAACTTATTGGAAATGGCCTGAAGTCTCGTAAATCTGTCTCACAAATAATATAACCAAATTATCAAACTTCAAAATTTTGGCAGAAATTTTCAACAATGATTATTTTTAAAATTTGAATTTTTAACCTATCAGACATTAATCAAGGCATTCATGAACATGCCATAGAAAACAAATTGGAGTTTTTAGCATTTTGAAAAAAGTTATTAGGCGAAAAGGAAAAAAATCCAATATTAGTGTATCCAGGACTGCGTTATGCACACAAAGCGTTAAATTTAGCATGAAAAAAAATGAAAAATGTTTAATTAAGCACAAAATTTGATTTGCTGATGAAAAAACTTTGTTTATCGAATTCGCAGCTGGAATGTTGCGTGCTTCTTTAAATATTCTTATTCGATGATGGTGGCTGCTTATTTCGCCTACAAGTAATGCCCATACTAGAGACGATAAAAATGCTGGATTCAATACGGCCTGGGAGCCTATTTAGTCAATTGTTTTTTGTGGCTTTTGTCTTAATTTCTTTCTGCTAGCTTCCGTGCTCTTTTTGTTCATGTTGAGCATATACGTTCAAACTAAATTTATAAACTAAGTTTAATTGAGCAAAGACCATTGTAAATAGTTTCAGCTATTTATTCTGCTCTGAAGAGAAGCTATTAACTGTTTTTCAAATCCTGGCGGGAACCATCTTTTGGATTTTGCCCAGAGAAAAAGGAACAGAGGCCTATTGTCGAGTATTTAAGTAAAATTGTCCGGTTTGCAGGATATTGCCCCGTGTGTCAATTACTCCAGTGCGCGTAGTGCCAGTAGGACCAAAGCCGCAAAAGAGGCATCTGCTAAAGCCCAGCAAGCGGCTGCTGCTGCTAAAGCCACCGTCACCGCCGCTAAGACTGCGTCCCCTGCAGCCGCGACTGTAAATACGGGCGGTGGTGGTACTAGTAGTGCCACAGCCAAGACAGAATCAAAACCGATCTTGAAAACGGGGCCGAATGCTCCGACTCCGACAATTGCTGGAGCAGCCGATTCAGAGAAGCATATTACGTTCTTGGCCCCGTCGCCGTACAATGAGAAACCGGAGCAAGTCGATATAAGTGAGTTCAACTACAATTATTGCATCGGAAACTGGAGTCAATATTTTTTTTTGGTAAAAATCAATTTAAGCTAGGCTAACTAATTGTTCCGACCACCTTCTGGATAAGGAAACGAGAAAGCGCTTAAGAACCACATGTTTTTACGGAAAAGTATGTACCCACAAAATTCCAATAGTGTGTGAATTTGTAATTGTGCGTTGAGTTTTTGTCGTGAATTTGTTTTTTCACATCTTTTCCGCTGCCCCTGAAAACGAAAAAATGAAAATTAATGTTGAAACGGAGAATTAAATGCTTCAATCACTGTTACTTAGCTTCTGAGTTCTTTCAGCCGGAAGATTTAAGAAAAGTCGAAATTAGAACGAGTCAAGTTTGGATATCAATTAGTTCGCTAAACCTCACGCAATAAAAATTACTTTTTGGAAACTAATTCTGCCTGTTGCTTTAAATGTTTGTTTTTTAGCTAACATTCCGCACTTCAAAGATCCCAACTACATCAACCTGCCCCAGTTCACCGGAGTTCCGGAACACAGCAGACCCATTTTCCAGCAGGAGATGCCACCTCTACACACGACTCCAGACGCAGAGAACATATTCCAGGCACCCAAGTTCCCCCCTCCATGAAAGAGACACCATAGTGGACAGAGATAGATTGTTGTTGACAGACTTCAAGTAGCTCATAAAAGATCTTCTCCCATCCAATTTTTTCTCTGAATTTGTTGGCAAAAAATATTACCTGAAACTTCTATTTAATAAGAACAAATTCACAAATTATCCTAAATTTGGTAACTTAAGAATTTGGAAAAATAAGTTTGATCTTACGCCTCAAATGAAACCTTAAATGTTTCAACGTTAGCTTGGGTCTACGTTGTTAATTTGTCAGAGAGTGGAGATTGGGAAAAGATCTAGGAATCATTGTACAAATTATCAGAAAAAGTAATAATGAAATTGTATATTGTAAATACATTGTTGCTGAAAGTTGTACCTATGTAAAACCACCGAATCAATTGAATAGAAATTATATCAGGTTTCTTTCCGGCATCAATGAAAGAAGTTTTTTCTTCGATTGTTCAAACAACAATGGTGTCATTAATTAAAAATGACAAATTGACTCGTGGAATCGTAAGTAACTTAATTGCCCCATAATTGTTACAGGGTTTCGAAAATTCCTATTTGCGTTCATTAAAGCGCGATTTACATGGTTTCTTCGTAAATTCTTTAATAATCGAATTTGCACTGCATTTGCAGCTGAACTAGCTCAAATTTGAATAATGTTAGCTGATTTGAAATATCCGGATAAAACATACAAATAAATTCGCACCTGAAAATTTTGGTCAAACTGCAAGAAAATTGTGTCCTCTTTTTGTCAAATTTTTCGCGAATTTGAGAGGAACGAGTTGAGTTTTTGTTTTATTCGTTATATAAGTGCTTTAAAAATCACTAAATGAACTGGGTTATATCAAAAGACAGTAAAAAATGACAAGACTGCTTATATCAGGGCGAAGCCCTAAATTTTCCGACAAATGAAGTTTCTATGGAAAATTTAAAATTGAATAATTGATAAAACTGTAAAAAAAAACTGGAGAAGGTTCGAATTTTTTTTTGATGTTTTAATATGAAATCATCCCTTCACATGCTATGTTTAGTGCCAATTGATATTTTTTGCATAAATCAAAGTATTAATTAGACTAGATAGCCTGCATTAGGACAGATTTCTTATATGGGTTAAATCTCTGCTCACGCGGTAATAGCACGGTAGGCATCGCAAGTTAATTGTCCCAAATTCGCAATATTTAAACCCCAATAACTTTGCAAAACAATAATACGGGGGAAAAAAATTTATTAAAGGTTGAGCTCAGAACAACTACTTTTCTTTGGAGCACTTTTCGAATGAGTAATAAAATAGCTAGCTAAAATCCGATGTTTGTCTCAAGCAAAAACCAGCATCAGCACATGCCGTCATTTTCTTAGAAAGTTTGAGCAACTATCTGTAAAGATGGATGAGCAAAAACCAATGCAACATTATGAAAAGCAAAATTAATCCAACGAAATGACTGGTTAAATAACGGTATTGTATTTTATCCTTATAAAGCGTAAGCAGCGAGACCAATCATTCCGAATTAAACTTGGGTAAAAAATTGGATCGTGTAAAACAAAATCTGAATTAAATCACTTTGCATTGAACAGAGCTTCTGATTTGATACATTGAAAATAAAATTCAAATGAAATTGTTTTCTTTTGGAAAGTCTATTCAATTTTTTTTTGAAGTGTGTACTCATCAGGGCGGTAAAGAGCAATTAAAACACTCAAGACTCCATTCCTTTACGAGTAATTTGTTTGTTTTTTCTTTAATGATTTTTGAAAACGAACTGACAAATTCTGAAAAAAAATGCACAGTTTCTGGTATTCGTTCTGGAGAATGGTCGTTAGGGGCCGTTGTTCCGCTGGCAAAGACATATTTTTGTTTTTGTCATAAGTTTTTTTTTTTTGTGTAGTGGGCAATAATGCCTCAGTTTTAAGCATAAATCTGGTGCGGTATCGATCCACATACTTCTCTATGCTTGCAATTAGCAAGCGTTATTAAATTCGAATAGAGAATTTTTTCAGGTTAACAACTAGTTTAGCAAAATCAGTTGAATCATTATGCAGCTGACAAGCTCAATTTTATAAAAAATGAAAACTAACCCCTGGGCGGGTACTAGTTACTACAAGGTAGTTTCAGGGAGACAAATTTTACAAAATAAAGTTTTAATCTGGCTCAACTGATGACTGCTGAAAAATTGTCGGCCTTGTTTCTGCTTTGTAAGTTTTGCTCAGTCGCTAAATTGAAGTTCCCATTTCTTGCATGTTTACCTAGAACCATATTTGTCAACGGGCCGGGCCGGGCCGGGCCGGGCCGGACCGAGGTTTTCACTTTTGTCAACGGGCCCCAACGGGCCTTACTTTTATTTAAACAAAACAGTGACACTGACCAACGCTGAAAAAGACTCCTTAAAGTTAATACAAATGAAACACGTGGTTCTTGGTCACCATTCGTTCAACTCTACTGAGGAGCCAGGTCTAGTCGCTTTGTTGCAAGGAATGGTGGATTTTACCAAATTTACTAAATTTGTTGTTTTTTTACTAAAAAAGCAGCAACGGGCCTCAACGGGCCGATATTTAATAAATTCCCTGTTTATCGGGCCGCCAACGAGCTCGACTTGAATTATATCGGGCCGGGCTGGGCCGGGCTGGGCCGGGCCTCAATTATGGCGGCCCGTTGACAAGTCTGCCTAGAACTCTTGTTTTAAAAACAGGTAATTCGAAAGTGAGCGGCTTTGGGTTTTCTTTAAGAAGCTCTGAAAAATTTAGTCTATTTTCGCGAAAACAAAAAGTTTACATTTTTTCTTAGAAAAACCCTTCCACCAATTTTCAAAAAAGGTATACATAAAAAGATTTTTGTGTTGCCCGCATACTTTTTTTGCTTTTTGTTCCCTTTTGTTTTAGCCCTGTGTCCATAGCCTTTAAAAATATCTGTGGAGAAATGTTTGACCATAAAGATCTGATAACTTGCTTTCAATTAAAAGAGTAGGTTTTAAAAAATGCTCCATAAAAGGCAACGCCTGAATTTTACTACACAAAATATTACGGCCCTTATAAAAACCAAATTTTTGATTTTTTTTACCGTTTTTGAATAATTTTTTTGAAACCAATACTTTGTGTTTTAGGCTATTTTGAGATAACAGATAGAAAGAAGCTCTCCAAAATTAGCGGCTCTACAATGTTTTCGTACACAAAAACTAATCGTTCTTAGAAAATTCAATTTTTGTTTTTTGGGCTTTTGTTTTCTAATTTTCTTTTAGAGTTTAACTGAAAAATGTCCTCTTATATCTAAAAATATAAAGGATGTGGGAAATTCTGTTGCATACGCGACTACATCCGAATGTTTTTGACACAAAAATTACGGCCCTCAGAAAAGTCAAAATTTATTTTTTGACTGTTATTTTTTTGAAGTTTCTGACATTTCTTGAGAAGTATCTAACCAAATTGGAGTTTTTGGATTCAATCGAAATAACAGCTTGGGTGAAAATCTCAAAAAAAAACAATTATGATTATCAGAAATGTCAACTCTCTGATTTGTTGACAGTTTTTAAGAATTTCTTGATAACTATCCTGCCAAATCTGATATCATAGGTTTAACCGACTCAACAAGTTTTTAAAAATTTAAATTTTTAAAATGATGCGCCTAATTTTTTTAAAAAAAGTTATGATATTCAATCAAGTGAACGTTTCGAAATTTTGACCCTTCTCTGAAAATTTATTTTTTCTACTCGAAAAGTACCTTACTACTTTTCAGGTTAAGTTTCCAATCGAGAAACGCTATTTTGGGAATCTTCTTCTCTATTTTACCGGCCACGACCTGCTTTAATCAGATGAAAAGCTACGGATTTCCGAAGATCAAGTGTTGGAACTTTGACCGTTTTGAATATAAAGTTTTGAATTTTCTCTAAAAACTACCCGATCAAATCTGATGGTAAAGTTTCAATGGGAAAAAGCGGCTGAGCATGTTAATCCTGCAGAATTTGCTATTTGCGAGTAAAATTTTATGTCGTTGGGATAATTCTAAAAGTTCAAACATTTTCACTCATCTCACTTATTATAGTACATAAACAGCAAATGTTTTGGGAAAAGTCCATTTTTTGAAATTACGCGTTTCATCCAAACACGTAAAAACCAAAAATATAAAATACGTACCTCCAGCTTTAGCTGTTCCCTAGGTATCTTTTATTCAGACGTACAAAAATTTTGATTCTTTCAGTTTTTTTACAACACTTTTTATTTTTTTCTACTTATCTTTTTTCATGATTGTGTTGTATCGCAAGAGGTGCAAAGCTCACCTCTGTGCAGTTAAAAGGCAGAGACTTATCCATTTGACCGCCCTTTTAATCTGAAACCTTGCTTTTTTCAAAAATTGTGGGATTTTTAACGGAGGCAAATCTAAAATTTTTATATGGAGGGGAATGGATTTTCAAAAAAACATTTTGAATTTTATCAACTTTTTTTTCAGATTGACCGAACTGATTTTCCGAGCTTTCACAATTGACCAGAAAAACTTTGTTTTGACAAAATTTTCTCAGCCGCCAGCAAAATATTAAAAAGTCAGGCAAAAAATTGTTTTAGACACTTTTTGGAAAACTTTGGCCTAAAAATTGCGTTTTTTTGGCGCACGCTTCCACACGAGTTTAGTATGTTTTGGCACTTTTTGGATATTTTTTTGGCACCCTATGCTAGTGGGGTGAGAGCTCGTCACTAGTAACGAATGTCGTAAAACTCGACCATTTAATTGTTCCGTTTAAAAGCTGACTATTCTAAACTGACTGGATGCTTTAAATCAAAGTTTTAAAAAAAAAAATTTCTAGAAAGATATAAGAACTTGAACTTGAACTCATTTAAATGATATAAAAAAACTTTTGGAAAGTTTCAATTACATTTCAATATCTAAACAAGAACATACATAAGTTGTGAAAAGATATCGACTAAAAGTGCAATCAGAAAAAAAAGCTCAAGAGTAAGCAAAGTACTTTATGAAAATTAATATTTGACCAATTTCCAAAGAAAAAATTGAAATTGAATTTTTGGTCGTTGGTAATAGAACAAATCGGTAAGAGTCGAGTAAAATATTTTGTTAAACCATTTTGAGCTGCAGTAAGAGCTGCTATAAAAAAAACTCTCAGGAGAAACGGATTAAAAACGGGGAAGCGGCGGTGAAGTGATTGAGTGTGCACCTCTCAATCGAAAGATCGGATGTTCGAGGCCAACCAAAAGCTTTTTGCAAAAATTTATTACAACATTCGAAAGTTTAAAATTGAATAATTGATAAAATTTTGTTAAAAAAACTGGAGAATTTTTTTGATGTTTTAATTTGAAATCATCCCTTCACATGCTATGTTTAGTGCCAATTGATATTTTTTGCATAAATCAGAGTATTAATTAGACTAGATAGCCTGCATTAGGACAGATTTCTTATATGGGTTAAATCTCTGCTCACGCG